TGCTAGCTTTGAGGTAAGATCACTTGTCCCTTCCCAGTAATTTACAAAACATGAGTGACATTACAGCTCACACAGAGCAAAAAGCATTCCAATCAGGCTCGTGGTTTTCCCAACATCTTCATAAATTCAGTAATACTTAAATATTACCTACAAAAACCATAAAAAGGCATTTTGAAGTCTTTTTCTTAACCTGTTAGAAGCACATAGTAAATATGTGCTATAAAAAGCACCATTTTAAAAGCTGAATTTGTTCTATTATAAACTAGGTAGCACACACAACCAGGTGGTGTCTGCGTCTCTTTTCCCTTTAACCAAGAGGTGACTTTCCATGTCTCAATACTCTTGGGACCATAGAAAGGAGAGTAGGTAGCTGTCTGCTGAGGTTCACACACTCATGGGTGGGTTCTGGGAATCAGATGGGCAGCCAGCTGGGGGTCCCTGCTTTGCTGGTATAGCTAGTGCGTGGCTGGGGACATGGGTGGCTCACAGTTGTGCAAAGGTACAAAATTTGAGCCTCTGCAAGGCACCATGCCAGAGCTGAGGCTCTGAGCAAATCTAATTATTAGCGTGAACGGAAGGTACTGTCATTGTTTAACTCATCCGACCTTTTAAATGGATAACCAACCTTGAGGCTTAATTGGATTTAAAAAAAAATCAATTTCTAGCCATTGCGTAGTGTTGAAATGAAGTGCTACATTCTCAGGCAAATATTAAATCAGTTTTGCTCAAGACTATTTCTTATTATTTACAACTTCATGATGACATTATCCATCTTGGTAAGCGTTTTGTGTACATATACACCTTTTATAAACAACCCCAAGCTCACGTGTATGTACAGCAAGTCACGTCACAAAAGAATCATTATTTTCTGTCCAGCAGCGGGCTGACTCATCGGCAGCAATCTCTTCACACCAATTACACAAAAAACTGAACTGGGATAATGACACACCACTGTTTGCAAATCTCTCTTAGCTGCAGCCTGGCCTCATCTTTGTAATAAGAAAAAAAAAAATCCTTGAGGAAGCTTTTTACCAAATCACATCTTGACCATTAAATCTTTCTTGAAGAAGGTCATTTAATTTTATGGAAAGAAATGAACAATTAAAATGGCATAAGCAGAAATAGTGCTGGTCTGCAAATTAGAGAGCTGATGATTCTAGTTCCAGCTCTGAGTTACACTTTCTGCGTGACCTTGGTGAGTCCTGCTGCAGACCTCAGTTTCCCCATCTGGAAAAGGGAGAGGCTTGGGGGTTTGAGTTGATGAAAATGGAGGTCTAGGGCTGGGGATATAGCTCAATTGGTAGAGTGCTTGCCTTGCATGCACTAAGCCCTGGGCTCAATCCCCAGCACCACAGGAAAAAAAAAGAAAACAGAAAAAGAAAATGGAGGTCTGTACTGGTGACCCATAGCTAAAGATCAGGCTAAAACAAACAATTAAGAAAAAAATGTTTGATTTCCTCGCACCTACTCTGAGAAAAAGACCCAATAGTGCATACCAGAGCCCTTTGCCCCTGTGAAGACATCTATAAAATGAGAAATCTAGTGATTACTAATGGTAGAATCTGGATGATTAGTTAAAAGCAATTATAGGATTACAGTTGACAAACAGAAATGCTAAACCCAGTGGTCTATTTTAACTGAGTCCGATTTCAATGTGCATTGTGTTGAATGGAGCCTCATCTAAAATGGTCCATTTTAGCCAGATTATGGAACGAAAGTGGAGGACCACACAATTATCCTGAGCATTCAGGACAGTCCAGAGAGCTAATTTGGACAATTGGACAAATGATTATTTTCTTTTGCCTCAATTGACCAGATAATTGTGTGTGCAAGTCTCTGCCATTTGGCTCTGTGGAATGTCTCTTTGTGTGGTAAGAAAACCCACAGACTGGTCAATGACAACCATCTGAGGTGTTGTGGAGTTGAGGACAAGATGCACACAGTTGGTGCCCACCGTCTAACTCTGAGTCCTAAACGGAAACCTCTGTGCGCCCACCCAGGGCCTTCATTAGCTCATTTTGATACCCATCAATTTGAAGGGGGCTGTTTTCCCTCAGTTTCAAAACAGAACTAAACAAAAACACCAGGCACAAGGTTAAAGGTCCCATCTGGGTGGTCGAGAGGATTTGCAGATAGAAAAGCTAGGGGTTTCAAAGGCGGGTGTGCACAAGGAGAGCTGCAATGCAAGGCTGACACTGGAGTGTGTGCACAGTGCCAAGTTCCAGGGTGCAGCTAACAGAAGAAATCGAAACTTCCCGTACTCATCAGTGATGTGCACCACCAAGAAGCAGGCATTCTTCCCTGCACCCAACTAATGACTGTCCCCTTCCCAGCAAAGGTCTTTCTGTATGGTTCCCATATGGTTTGATGAGAAAGAGGGACCCTGATGACCTGAGGCAGCATGTGGAGAAACACACTGGCCATTGTGTGTGGATTCAGGTCATGCTGGACAAGGGCACTTGTTTCTCTGTGACCTCACAGTGGTAGCCATCCAGGGAAGACTGCGCTAACTTTGGGTTGACTGGACAACTAAACATGTAGGCTGTTTGCTACACTCGGCAGAGTAAATCTACATCCAGCCTTGCTCCCATGGTCAAGGTGAGCATTCAGAGGGGATGAGTCAATGCTCCACCACCTTCAGGCCAGGGCCTAAATCTTTGGAGTTCTCTGCCCAAGAGCAACCTTCTGGGTTTTATCTGATTGGGCTGGCAAGGACTCCATTGGGAACATAACCCAAAAGGTTGCCACTCAGGAAGCACACACGCAGCCGAGCCTGCAGCCACCTTCTTGCCATGTCAGAATGAATGACTTCTTTAATGTGATCACCATTAGTTTGGACATTCTCAAATCTAGAGCAGAAGTCTATCCTTTGAGAGTGGATCTTACTCTCAGGCAGAGACATGGCTGACAAGCAAATTGGGCGAACTCTAATTTCTAGTCAAAGAACAGGGCAAGGGTATGGGGGTGGCAGCTGCTGCTTCTTTGGTCTCAGGATGAAATGCCCAGTACCAAGGACACTACCTGGACTGTGATATTAAAGCAGCTCATACCCCATCTTGATTCACTGGCAAACCTTCTGCCAGCAGTATCCATGTTGTAAGCCAGTACTTCCTGACAAAGGGCTACCCAGCCTTGCAAGGACCAAACAGTCTCGGCTTTGAGTCCAACTGACAAACAGTGTCCCTCAAGTTTTCAGTACAGCAGGATGGGAAAGGCGCAAGGCCATTTAGAAAATCAAGTGTCCCGAATCCTGTGTTTTAAGAATTACTTCAGGAACACTAGAGTTTCATGTGAAAATTTCCAAATGGTTCTTGGTATGTGTATAAAATGTTTTCAAAAGAAAAATAATTAACTCCTTTTAAGGCAGTTTCCCTTTTTGTATATTGGACAGCAAATAGATTGGTCCCTTTGAAAGCTTTCATTAGATAGACAGATTGACTTTCCGACACTCAGGCAAAGGCCTCGGGCACAAGATAAACAGTCACTAGCCCCAAAGATCACAGACCAGACCAGGCCAGGCGCTCCCCTGACACAAATGCAACTGAAGGAAACGGTAAACCCGCCATTAAAATTAATACCAGGACTGCAGGATGTTCTTTAATCTACACGACTGCTTTATTGTACAAAAAGTTTCCAGTGACAGTAAATTAGTTCTTAAAAAAGGACAAAAAAAGTCATTTTGGATAGAAGCATTTCACTAATTGCTTTATTTAAGCATACAAGAAAAAAAGTCTTATCTGACCAATTAGGTTGAAGGGTTTTATTACCTTTAAGAAGCCATTAGCTGGGATAAAACACTGCAAGCACTTGTGTCAAAACAAATAAATAATGCTCTCTCAATTAGCAAAGAGAGTGGTAAATCCGTTAAATTAGAGACACGTACTGCTTCATGTGGCATGGCCCAGCCAGCACCCACCACCACCACCAGAACCAGACAAACAAGAACAACAGACAGCAGTTTTTAGTTACAATCTCAGGGAAGACCATAAGCTTGGAGAACGGACACAACCACTTCCATTTGAACTGGCCCTGGACACTTGGAAGAGGGCATGTGTCCAGGTTAGGCCTGAGGGTCCCACAGGGCCCTTCCCAGGCCAGGGGAGAGTGGCCCGGGCAATCGACACCCCCAAGGCCCAATCACTGACAGGAGTTGTGGCCAGTTAAAGGTCCACCTCTTTGCAAGGCAAAGTGTTGCCCTGAGGTACCAGGCCATAACAACTGGTTTTCTCTTAACTTCCTCAAATGCTACTCATCCCCCTTACCCCTCCACCCCCCCCCACCCCCCCCGCAACAGGCTCAACAAAACACACAGTGGTTTGAGAACCAACAGTCAGTGCACAAGCTCTGGGGCCAGCACCTGGCTGGGCCTGTCCGCCTCTGCCTCCAGGACCCCAGTCACAGCAGCAGACAGCTGGGGCTTGGCCAGCACTGCCCTGGCTACAGGCAGAAGGGGACAGTTTCCCCTTCTCCAGGAGGTCCTGAAAATAAGTTCTAATCAGGTCTACTATGGTTTATGGGAGAACCCAAATTACCCTACTCAGGGCAATAAATATTTATAAATAAGTGGAGAGTCTTTCTTAAAGGGTCAATTTGCTTCAAGGGTTGCAAAGACCCTACCTTTTTAAAAACTTTTAACAATCATCAAGCACAGCCTCTGTGGATTGCTTCTGAGGCAACACCCCTAACTGGGAGAGCCATCCCACCCAACCCCGCCACCATCTGACTATGGGGTCCCAGAGGTCTCTAGAGTCCCACACCTTGGAGATGCGGGGGAGGCACCCATTCCTCTTCCTTCATAAACATCTGCCTGGGAACGGCAGGCACACCTGTGGCAGCCCCTCACTCCACCCTGCCTCAGAAAGAGGAAACCGGAGGCCGCCTGGAGGCAGACACAATGAGAGAAGGGGAGGCCAGGCCGGGGCTGGGTGGTAAGCCCACGATTTGTTTGGATGACTGGAGTCTATAGCTTTGAGTGTATATTTCTGGAAACCACTTCAAAGTCAATTTTAGAGAGGCATTTTATGTGACCGGTTCAAGTAAAATGTAATACATTTAATGGGGTCATGCTCTTCTTAAAAATTTTAAGAGAAGCAAAAACAATGAAAAAGCTATAAAAAAAATTACACAAAGGCCAGTAAAATTACACTGGTATCAATTAAAACTGGGCAAGTAAAACTCAAACAGCCTCAGTTTTCAGAGTTATCACTGCCCCCCCGGCCCCAGTTCCTGGAACACAGAGGGAGACACTGCAATGACACAGCGAGGGAAACCAAGTCCCACTCCCACGGGTGAGGGTTTCCCAGTTGCCGCCCTCGGGAACAGGACTACTTTCCCAGCATTGCTGAGTGGCAGCGGAAGAGCCCATAAATCAAACCACTGGTGGAAGATTTTACTTTGAAATGGAGTGATGTTTGGTTAATAATTTGAGATCCACTAATCCTAAATGGGGTGACCCATTTAAAATGGCCTCTGTGTAAATTCACAGTTCATTAGATGGAGTCTGGTTTGAACAGGTCATTATGTGGTTAGTATGTAAGTGATGAAGTGAGGACGGCCAGGGACAACCAGGACACACTGGCTCAGTCTGTGACATTCATGACACAGTCAAGCTTCCTCTTAATGGGAGATTGGTTCAAATCACCAACTTTTCAACTGAGGTGGTTTTGCTTAGTAACCCCTTTTGGTTTACAGTAGAAATGTGCAAAAATTTTAAATGAGGAATATTCTATTTACAATTAATTTAAACTTATGAAGCTGTTTTAACTGGCCCATCTAAATGTGTTAATTAACATCAATGATGGTTTCTTATTTTTCACACTTTGTTACTCTGATCATTAGCAGTGATGGAAAAGCTAAATTAAGTTAATGGGGAACAGATTATAAATTCTTAAAGGACTTCTTGGTTTGTTTCAACTGGAAAATATAGAGAGAAAGATGAAGAGGCATTTTTGCCTCTACTCATAAATTTTTGGTACCAAATTTCTTAAAAACCACATGGTTTAAAAAAAATTTTTCCAAAAATTATTTTAACATGCTGCTCAGACTTGACTGCTAAAAAAATAGCACGTAGACGTACCACACTGAGCAGCCACAGCAGTGCCAGAAACATTCAACTCACCTTCACTTTGTAAAAAATATGAACTATAACTGAGCACAGAACCAACCTCCACCCTGTCACAAGAGTAAAGGTCCTCGCACCCTGAAAGAGATGAAAACAAAGGCCCACTGCCCCCACGCGGGGCGCCAGTGCAGCGAGGGGCAGCGGCAGAGGTGGACCCTGCACCTGGTGCCCGTACAGTCCACGGATGCAGCTCTGCAGTAGCCGGGGGTGCGGGCTGAGCCCCCACACCCAGGAAATCAGCGCAGTGGTGTGAGAACCCTACACTGCTAGCGAGACTTCACACCCACGAGGACGACAATCAGGACGATGGTGACGACAAAGAGTATCAGGATCACCAACATCTTCCGGTTCTTCTTTTGGTACTGCTCTGCCTACAGGGAGAGAAGGAAAGAGACAGTCATTTCCCCAGAACCCAAACCCAGTAGCCTTGCTTTCTGGAGAGGCTTCTGACACTTTCTGCATAGCAAGTAGCAATGTGTCTGCTAAAGACCAGGCCACATTAGTCAACCCTCCCTTGGTTTAATCGTGGACTCTGGAAAACATTGTTGGGATTTGCTGTTAAGACAAAGGCTGTAGAGATGCCAAAGACTGTGCTTCTGGATCTGGGTGCACCTGAATTCCCCCCACTCTGGCTTCCTCAGCCTCATAGAAAGTCCCATGTCTAGACACAGGTGCATATCGCCTTTCCTGTGAAAGAGAATAGAAGGTACAGTTCCCATAACCAGGAGGTACAGAACAGACGGCTGAGGCTCATTTTCAACCTCCCCTAAACTTAGAAATAAAAAACATTATCCTCTGAAACAGAAATGGGTTAAATGTGCCCCATGGCTGTTGTGAGTAGAGCCCACCTGAGGCGAGCCCTCCCAGTGCCAGGTGGTACTCAGAAAAACGGAGGAGCTCCCAAAAACCCAGCCTGGGGAGGCCCATCTGGGAAAGCTCAGAGGGAGCACTACATAACCCAACATGCCTTAGGTGCAGAAATGCCAGCATGCCCCATGCCACTGCCCCTGACAGGCCCTGAGAAAACCTCTTCCTATGCAGGATAGGAAGGCAAGGGGCCAACATGCACTCCAGGGAGTACAGACCCCCTCCAGATCTGCAATCCCAGGTGGATGAGGAGAACTGGCGAGGACATAGTTTTTTCTGTCCCACCTCCATGCCCCCTGCCTTCGTCCTTGGTGAGCCCCCCATCCACTGGTGGAGCCCCTTCTCAACTGAGAGGAAATGGCAGGACAGTGAAGTGACTACTAAGGCTCAGTCATCCTCAGAGAAGCCACGTGCCAGGACATAGCTGCCTGATCCCACTGCCCACATGAGGCCTGAGGGACCAGGGTGCACCTCTACTGTCCTAATGAGTACACCCAAGCCTAGGGCCAATACCAAAAACATACCAGAAGGCCTCTTGCAATGAGGCAGACAATACAACCCATGAGGACATTTCTAGTCCCCCTAGGTCTGTTTATTCCTGAGGGGAGGTTCCCCCCCTCCCTCCAGTCCTTTTTAGAATGCAAAACATGCCCCACTCGTTGTTATTTAAGAAACTTCAAAAACAATGCATGATGCAGCAGCATATCAGAACCTGGTATCACACTGTGAAGAACTAAAGTTGATTTTCACTTTAATATACAGGGCTTGGCAACTGGGTTAATCTAATTACTTAAACAGCCTCTGCAAGGGCAGGGCATACCTCCCTCTCATTGGGTGCTGCTTTCAGTCCCTCCTGTGCCAGCCATGGCTAGCACCTGAGGCAGACTATAGACTGGGCGCTCTGTGAACCTGTCATTCGCGTTAGGTGGTCACCTGGGCTGTCTGGCAACTGGTTTTAGAACAATAATATCGTATTGTGTTAGTGAATTGGGAAAAGGCTCATTGTGTGGCTAGGAACACTACTGGGTCTCATAATACAAGGAAGTGGACACAATTTGTTTTATCTGTGAAGCACTATTATATTCCTTTAAAAGAAAACATGTGCACGTAGTATTCGTGGCATGAGACTTCTAAGATGTTTCCCACTGATTTTTAACAGAAAGAAATGAACAAATATCATGAAAACATCCTGAAACAGGCACCTCATCAGCAAAGAATGAGAGCACCAGCGCTCACACTCCCACAAACTCCCTCTTCTCCAGGTAATGCACAGACTTGGCGTGGTCAGCAGAGGGAAAGTGAGACCTCTGTTCTCTCCAGAGGGACTCTCCACCAGCAAGGGGGCCAGGAGTCAGTAGCTGCTCCCAGCCAGATACCCCCATAGAGAATAAGAGATGACTCAGGAAAGGAAAACCAAGTCCCTTCAGGATTTACTGTCACAGCAACATGTAACCCCAGACTGCAGCACTTCTGGATCAGTTAACTGCAGCAAAATGGCAACAGCACCCCACAAGGCAGCTGGAATGAAATGGTGGTGTGCGTTGACACAACCACAGAGAGCTGGCCATGCACTGGAATGCCAACAGTAGCCATGGTGGAAATCTGTGAATTCTCTCACAAACTCTCCAGAGTTGCTGACATTTCCTAAAAACTCCCAACCAATGGAAGATGATATTACCTTGTGAAGCTGTTTCAAGCCATCTTCGGTTTTGATACAGGACTGTTCAACATTATAGTCAATTCTATCAAGGACCGTACCCTGAGTAACAAAGGACAGACACGCAGGATCAACAGTCGCAGTGGGGGAACTGAACTTTGAATACAAGACGTGCAAATTTATAGACAGAATCTACCCTGCATGTTCTGACCACCTAACTGTGTGGCTAGGGGGCTCACAATGGAAGTGCAGGAGTTGACCCTCAAGCAACATCAGGTACTCCAGCCCAGAGTGCAGGGTTAGTTTCAATGAAGACTAGCTCATGGAAAAGAAAGACTTGACAACTTGAGGTTTTTGTTTTTGATTTTATTTTTTTGGATTTAGCCAATGTCTGATACACTGTATTCAGACTTACTAGGGATTTAAAAAATACAGAGTTCAATGGAAATAAGCTCTGTGCAGCAAAGAGACAACTTTGTTGCTCAACCCAGTCATGACTAGATCTGCTCACTGACCATTATATCTACAAAAGTGAACACGATTCTCCACAGGTCAGAGCAGAATACGGAAAGCTCCAACCTACCAACTAAAATTTAAAATCTAGTCTCAAAAAAAGTGTTTTTAATTGTTTAATTTCCTAGTTCCTATAGGAAGAAGGGGACACTGGGCTGCAGGGAGGGCAGGACTCTTATTGGAAACATGCTAGATCAGGAGAGATGGAGGTTCACTGGGAAGCACGGGAGTAATTAATGTAACTGGATCTTGTGTAGCCTGAACACTCCATTCTGCAGTTGGTTTCAGGGGGATCAGGACCCAAATCCCTGCTGGCAAGATAATAAAATGCCCTAATCAGATTTTAACGGTGAACAACAATTTAATTCTACTTGGAAGCTGGTGATTCTAAGCGCCATCACACAATAACCCGCCAAAATCCGAGAGGAAATCTTCTCTATTGCCAGAGTTAGGGCTGGGCTTGCTAGGTCCCCACAGTAGTGGGCTCATATCAATGCCCTGGGGCAGGGGCATGGAATATTACAACTTCTACTTATTTCTTTTTATCTGAAAAAAAGTTTATTAATATTTTTATAGAGAAAGACAGCAGCCAATGTAAATCATTTGTAAGTACATACCTACTATGTATATATCTGTACACATGCACACACAGAGCACAGTTCAAATCTTTCCCTGATTGAAATACAGGATTCAAAGGACTTCGAAGAAGGATGCACATCACAGCAGGAAACTTCACAGATGGGGAAGGAGGACCTGCATACCTGTTCTACAATCATGGCTCCTAAGTCCCTAAAGATCTCATTGAGGTCAGAGATGGACTGCACGATCTGACGTATATCTCGCTCCCGCTCCTCCACCATCAGCGTGTTCTGCTCCACCAGCACCAGCTGGTCGTCTGTGAAGCCCTAGCGAAACAACAGCATGGAATTTCCCCACTGGGAAAGCTATGGCACGCCAGCTCAGATATCATTTAAAGAAAACGAATTCTGAAAATATTTCTATAAAGCACACGACAATAAGCACTTATTTTTCCATAATAGGAAAGATCCAAATTCCCCCAAGCAGCGGGATCTATGGCACAGTCACCAAAGCAGGGGACATAGAAAGAAGCCCAGTCTGTAGCCATGCAAGGGCTCAGGGATGACCCTGTGCTTCCTTGGGTTCTTCCTGGGAAAGCGGGATAAGACTGCTTTCCTGACAGTTCTGGAAAGCAGACTACAAGGTATCTCTGCAGGTTCTGGAAAGGAAGAAACAGTGTGGCTGTTCTTCCGCCTGCTGAAAAGGCTACTTGGTGGACATGGGAGTCAAGAGCACACTGCATCTGCACTGCACTGCACAGGAGTCGAGGTCTAGGACAGGAGGAAACCGAGGAGTGCCTATGCACAGCAGTCACTTTTGCAGCCCCTTCACGTACCCGATCATACAGAGTATTATCGTCTCCATCATCCATTAGTGGTACTGATGTATCAAAAAAATGCTGGGATCTTTCCTCTCGATTCTTCATGCCTATCATAGATAGGAATCCACTTTACTCGAATATGTAAACCATTCTGGTTACTGTTCCGCCATTAAAAAGGGGAAATCTAGAGTAAAACTCAACAGTCAAAGTGGAGATCTCCTAGAAGCTTCAGAGAAGCAGCTCTGGGGAGGGGAGGAGGGCATTAATACATGCGAGGGTGTGCCAGCCTTGAGAGACCTTCAAGACAAGTCCCACTCTAGCTGTGCACAGCTCACCTGATGCCAAGACAAAACGACACAACCATCTGAGAATCTCTGAGTGAAACAGAAATGGTCACTCTAACTGCTATTACAAAACATTAACAACAACAACAAATCAATATTTTCTCTAGGAGCATTTCTATTGAGAATCTCAAATAACCCTAATCAAATTTCAGAGGCAATACAATTAAAATACAAATACTGTCAGTTGTCAGAGGGAAGGGAAAGAGAGGTGTTTTTGCTTTTGTTTTTTTAAGCATGTGGGGACTTTATTGGCTGGTTGCAATGGCAAAGTAAAAACCCCATTTTCAAGGTAAGTAGAATGAGGATATGACTGGCTTTGAACTGTATGGGAAGAAAAGGTACGCTGAACAAAGTGGTGGTGAAGGCAGGAAGTACTTATAAACTATTCTCAGAAGGTTTGTTAGGCATTCTCAAATACTTCAGTTGTTATACAAATATGTAGCTTCATGTGATGACAACTATTTCTTTTACCTATTTATGAGCAGTTCCCAAGCTTCAACAGCTAGAAAATAGCAATTTTTTTTCAACACGCTAGGATGATTTTCAAATTCCTCAAGTTTGAGATGGAATAAACGTTTGCTTAGATGTCAACTACTTTAGGATCCTCTGGTTAACCTGGGGAGGGGACCTCCTTTTGTTACAAAAAGCATGAATGGAAAAGGTACAAGGAATAAATAGAGAAAGAGTTACAAAAAAGAAACAAAGAGAACAAAAAGTAATTCTTTTCTCTAAGTCCCTTCAGTAGGGCAGGCAGCACTCACGTTTGAGGTAGCCCGACTGTGCATGCCGGAAGCTGGTGGACAGTTCCTGCAGGGCCTGTGCCAGGGAGGCAACCACATTGCGCAGCAGCCGCTCCTCCTGCTCCGAGCAGGCCCTGCGGGCCCGGCTGGGCAGGGCCTGCACAGCACGCTGGCACCTGTGGAAGAGCTGAGAGAATGGCCATGCTCAGGGCAAAAAGGCCTCTGCCACATAAAAGTGGGGGAGGGCAGTGCTGTGCCATGTAGCAGCGCAGGGAAAGCTGCCGGGATGGAAACCACCTTCAGCTTCACTTGTACACCCAGGAGGATGCAACTGGGTTCCCGTTCCCACATCCCTGTGCCTGTGGTGCGCCCCACACTGCATGTGACCTCATGCCATTTTTACCAGCTACTCTGCTATCACTGCCCTCTTCTCCTTTAATTCCCATGCACACACCAAAAGGCAGGTACTAGCATTGCTGTCATTCCCACTTTTATAGAATGGTGGAGTTAGAGGGATTCATGGAGAAACCAGTGTTCCCACGTTAGGATACTCCTCCTCTGAAAACAGGCATTCAAGAGATTCAAACAAATAAAAATACAAACACTAATGCTTAAACACAGCCCATGGTAGTTAAAAATTATTCAGATTTAACATTTTATAATGAATCCCAATATTGTGTATAATTATATATATCAAATTTTTTAACATTTATAAAAAAAAATTTAGCATGCTGTTTTTTTTCAATTATGAGAACTGTATTTTAACATAAATTTTTAAAGCACTAGTATATAAAAGAAATTGTATATTTAAAAATAAAGATTGAATTCCACACTATTCTGAATTTAATTTTTATTTAACTAATACATAGTAGCACATACTAACAATTAAAAAATAGTCCCCACATCTCCAGGTCACTGCACCCATATGTTGCTACCTGGTGGGCCTCAGGGCCTCTATAAGTTCCTTTGAGAACTTCACGCTTGGAAGTGAAACTCTAGAATGGTCCACCAGCTGGTTTAGAGTGGCAATACTGTGTGGCTTTTGAGATGGCCTCAAGGAGACTTGGCCTGGCCATCAACTTCCCAGGATCCTCCGTGGTCTCACCTGTGTGATCTCTTGGGTGGTTATTTCAATGGCGTGTTCCTCCTCACTGCTGTCATCCAGGGTGGGTCTGTTTAAATGCTTATCGTGAAGGCTGGCTAATTCCTTCATCTTCTGTTTAATCCGGCCAACATCGTATTGTATCTGAATAAATGAAGTCACCAGAGCTCCATGATGCCTGGCAGGTGTCTAGGCCACTGAGACAACTACAATCAGAACAGAGCTGGGCCTTCAAGTTACCCCGAAATTAAACATCGCCCTTGAACAACTTTTCAATTTCTTTCTATAATTCAGGTGGATACCACTAACATGAAAACTGAAGCCAAGGGCTGGGGCTATACTTCAGTGGCAGAGTGCTTGCCTCACACCTATAAGGCACTGGGTTCAATCCTTAGCACCACATAAAAATAAACAAAATAAAGTCATTCTGTCCTCCTACAACTACAACTACAAAAAACAAAAACAAAAACAAAACCCAAAACCAAAAAACAACAAAACAAACAAATAAACAAACAAACAAACAAAAAAACAACTAAAGCCAAATCATTAACACATACTTTTCTTGTGTGGTATGTAAAATGAATAAACCCAATGCTTAAGTATTTCATCTACAGTCACAGTAGTTTACATGGCAGATATCGTAAAACATGTTATTATTACTTTAAAAAAAATGAGATACTGAGAAACTCTCATTCAACTTACTTCATCCACTCCATCCACCCATTTCGGAGGTGACCTCTTTGTCACACCAATTGCTGCTTCTGGGTCTAAGCTAATGCCTGACACCAGTGCCATACGGTCATCAGCAAGCTACAGGAAAATAAATGGACATTAAAAATTTTTTTTGGATTCAATTTAGGTAAGGAAACTCTTCCTCCCTTTTAAATGTGGCTCCCTAAAGAGCTAAAGAAACATAGGAGTAAATGCACTTGCCTGTATTATAAACTTGCTTTTGACACTTAGGATTTGGAACTGTTTTCCTATCTTTTCATGCATCAGTTCTTAATTTCCTTGGGCATACTTGTGAACATGAATCTGACTTGATCTGGCTATAGAAATGTAATGAAAAAGTCAACAGAAGATCCTTAAAAGAAAGGCCTCTTAGTACCAAACTACAATAGAACGGCATGAACCTCAGCAATTAATGTGAACAGATACAAGTAAAAAGAAATCCTAGGCTATAAACGGAACTAATACAAAATTTTAATAGTAGCAAGGTTTACTTACATCCACTCAGCTTATTTTGTAAATAGTAATGATTGATCCAGTTATCTCAGTCACGAGATCATCAACCATGTGCTAAAGCATGTGAAAGAGCTGCCTGACCCAGGCAGTCACCCACAGGCCAGAGCAATGCTCGACACCCGCAGTGCAGTCTCACCGGTCATTTCTCTCCCCACTTAGAAACCCAGAGGCAACATTCTCCCTTATTTTGAAATGATATCGATATTCCTTTTCTTCTCTCTCTCTCTTGCTCCCTTTTTAAGAATGGGAAGAAATCGCAGATTTGCAAGGTTAAGCTTTTTTTTGGGGGGGGGGAGCTGGAGGCAGTGAATGGGTTGAAAAGATTTGGAGGTGACCTCTGAAGCTCAGAATTTTTAAATGGCAATTTCAGAAGATCCCAATGAAAATCAAAATATTGGAAAATGGTCTATAAAAAGGCCCTTTATAGATAATACTCTTGTAAATTTCTAAATCATACTGTAGAACTAGGTGAGGAATTTCTATTCCTTTCTCTCTTCCCTTCAATTATCTAAATTCATTTTTTTTATTCATCTGGCAAAAACTTATTTGCTTACCTAACAATAAAGAAGTAAAGACAAAATTTTAAAAACCCATAGGTAAAAGAAAACAAATATCACATAAGAAAAAAATCTAGATTAAAAGAACTCTTCAAGTAATAAGCCCTAAATACAGAACAGGGCTCACAGCAAAATGCCTAAAAGCAAACTGGTGTCTTGGCCTTCCAGAACCCCATGCCTCTCCAACCTGGCAGCCAGGCCCTGCCTTGCTCTGCACTGGGTATCCTCTGTACCACGGGCACCGCATCCACTCAGGAAATGAGTCTTGTGCAAGGACCACACACATACAGGACCAGACCCCAGGACTAGCCTAGAAGGCCATGGAGCAAGGATTCAGTCCACTGTATTGATCCAAGGCCTAGAGCCACAGGCCCAGGGTTGCCTCCATTCCTAAACAAATGGTGCATTACCCAAACCTGCACTGTCTGGGGTTGAAGTGGTGGACTCTCCATCACCTCCATTACCACCTTTTGTTTGTTTTTAAGAGTTCACTAATAGGAAATTTCACATTCTTTTTATTATTTCAATCCTCACAAAAACTAGGTGAGCTAGGAACTATTATTCCAATCTATAAATACAGAAATTGAAACTCAGAAAAGTAGCTTGCCCAAGGCCACAGAGCTATTATGTGACAGATTAAAACCTGGGTCAGCTGAATCCAGAAGACCCTTCCACCCTACAAGCTGCCAATCACTCTGGCAGGTCCATGAAATATAACTGCAATTTGCTAAGAAAATGAATCAGGACAAGCCATCAGATTAAAGCTCAACAAAACCCAGAACTTTGATTCATTCCCCAGCAACTGCACAGGCTCCATAACTGTTAGGAAAAAAATGGTCTCTTCTACCGACAGGCTGTGGAGCAGACACAAATGTGTCCTGCCTGCAGACAATCAGGGGCAGTGCTAGTGACTGCTCCACATTCCTGATCCAAGGCCACAGAGGGGCATCCAACTTTGTGAAAGGCAGAGGGACAAACCACATGGTCACTTAATGGCACACTGCCAGTGTGTGCTGAATAGGGAATAACTTATAATAACAACCTGAACTTATACTCCAGCTTTTTTTACTAAGCAAAATCTAAAATTGCCATACCTTTTGATAAGCCACAGATTTTCCACTATACCACTTATCTAATCTACCATATGTTATTATTATGCCATATTTCAATACAGCAATAATGATTTATGTATAATGATTTTGTTTCTATAATGATTTATAATGAACAAAATAAGTTGACCTGTTTACACTTTTACAAATATACATCAAGCTAAAATTTACCTGTACTGTGACTAATACTGTTTTATCTAAACAAAATATTGTAAACCACACATAACAGCTAAAGTGGATCCAATTCTTTTAAGCAATATTTATACAAGAAATGTGTTCTCCCCAAGTTAGATGTAAATCAAACCTGGGGCAAATGTACTTTTCTAAGGGTCCTAAAGAAGCTGGCTAATGAGGCAGTCCCTCCAGGAAAGCTTGGTCACCAGCCCACCCAGTTGGATGTGAGTGTTCCTGCACACCACATCAGTAGTTTGCCAATGAGAGAACAGCTCATTCTTTGGGATAGCAAACTTCAAATGGCCAACAATTTGTCCCCTTTTTGATAGCATCTACAGCCATAACTCACCATGATAGAAATGCTGCCCTACTGAGAAGAAATGTATCATTTCTTTTATCAGTACCAATTGGTAATGTACTATTATAAAAGAAGACAGGATATTTTGGGAAGGGAAACAATTGAGAATAAATGTCAATTACTTGAAACAAATATGAACATAAAAATACATTTTAAGTCTCAAATAGTCACCCTTTCAACTTCTAAAAATCTCACTTGCCACTTAAAAACACGTTTTCTTGTTTGCTGAAATTCCAGCATACATTTCCACTTTCAGTTGCCATCCTACTCCACACAGACCTTAAAAAACTGTCAATTTTCATTTTATTTATTCTTGCCCAATTTCAACATGATCCCCCTCTCTCTAAAAATATGATGTTGGTTATTAAAGCTTTTCTTAATTAACTTGTATTTCTTAAGTTAAAAAAAAAAAAAAACCACCTTCCCTTATTTTTTAAATAAGAAAAAATTGTTACAAAAGCTGTAGAGCAGGGTGTGGTGGCACATGTCTGTGATCCCAGCTAATCTGGAGATTGAGAGCATTGAGAGTTCAAGGCCAGCTTGGGCAACTTAGCAAGATTCTGCCTCAAAACAAAATAAAAAGGGCCAGGGATGTGGCTTAATGGTTAAGAATATTCCTAGCATGCTCAAGGTCCTAGATTTAAACACAAGTATGAAGGTGGGGGGAAGAGCTGTACTTAGGACAATTAAGAATTTAAGAATGCTTATCTCTTTAACTTGGGGTTGTCCTCCAAGAACCATGGAGTATACTACCCTAACCTGTGGAAATGCAGAAAAACTCCAGCAGAGGCTCAGATAGCACACTTAAGTGACTTTCTTACTAGTCTCATCTTTTGCCCTTGATCCACTTCAGATGTGGACATTAGTTCTGTTAAAGAGCACAATGTAGACAACTTCCTGATCTATGGAAGGAACATGCTCACTCCCTCTCTAAATCCCACTTGTGTGTGCAAGCTGATTTAGTATGCTATAAGATTAAGGACACAGCACAGCCTCCTAGGGATAGGGAAAGTCAGTAAGCTAAAAACTAAAACAAGCCCGGCCACAATGTACTGGGATCAGGACAACACTGACAACTCTGAGCTGCCCGGAAGAGGGCCATTTACCAAGCACAGAAGGATACTAAAGACTGCAGCCCAGACACTTGGCTTGCAGGAGGCATGTACACTGCAGAGCGGCAGCACCATCCTGAAACTCCAAAGCTAAAAGCCTGGCTTCTTGGAGGGGTGAAAAAGCAGAGGGATGAGAGAATTGAGTGTCAGCACTGTGTATTTTCAACATGTGCTGATTTAAAAACAATACTGTTCCAGATTATGAAATGACAAAATACTTTTTAAACTATAAAAATATAGAAATAAAAAAGTTGAGAATCACCCACCCTGACATTAAACATCATTAGTTTCACTGATTCTTTTTTCTTAACTAACCCTTAACCCTTAAGGAGCGGGGTTGGGGTTGGGGAATGGACCAGCCTGGGCGCAGGGACTTTCTCAAGGCCACACAGACATGACCAGAGACCTGACCCAGACACCAATACACCACCTGCCCCTCCCCAAGCTATGTGGTTTGGGGGCCTGACATTTATATCTTGTGATTTTTTTTTTAAGTCTCTATTTTGAATTTTAAAAACCCAGCCATTTGGGAGATGACTTGTCATAAGCAGATGAGAGGAGGAGGACAAAACAGAGGCCAGGCACTTCCCTGGCGGAGAGAATGGCAGTACTGGATCTCATCCTCAGAGGACATCTTGTTGAGCATTTTCTGAGAATGAAGGTGGTGTCTCCAGGGTTCTTGATTTGAGTAGGAGAGTGACCAACTGTCAGAGTGACCTACAGAAAGCCCTGGAAGGAACAGGCTCTGGTAGACAGAGGCCTTTTCTGTGGGGGCTCAGGCAGAGAGACACCAGGGTGAAGCCTACCCTAGCCCAGGAGGAGTCTGAGTAGACCATCCCAGTACATCCCAGCTCCTGGTTCAGCACCTGACACTTCACAGTGATGAACACACAATTAGCTGGATGAATCAGCAGTAAATGAATGGGATGAATGGATGAGGTAAATAAAACAAGTCATACAATTCTGGAAGTTACACTCCATGAAAAAACCTAATGGTGCTGGAGGAGGAGAAAAAGTGGCAAGTGAGACACACAAGGGGGTAAAGTGGCCACAGGCACCCCAGGTAGACAGGCAGGAAGGCACCCCAGGTAGACAGGCAGGAAGAGTTTGTCACACTTGCACTTCCGTCCATGAACAGAGAAAGGGCACTTGGGATCTCTGGTCACCAAAGGCTGAGCCTGGGAAAGGAAAAGGGCCCGCTAGCTCAGAGGGCACACAGGCAGTCTCTGAACTTGCTGACTGAAGAGGAAGTGGGAAAGGGAAGATGGGTTCAGAGGGCTGACCCTTTGGCAACCAGGGCCACCGTGTGCCTCCCATGCAAATGCCCCTTCACCCAGAGTCCTTCCTGTATTTGCTTTTGTCCCTCATCAGACATTGCTCTTGGAGGGTCACAGGTTTTAACCTTACCAACTGCTCAGTAAGGAGTAACACCTATTTTATATTACATTTATTTTAAAACTGCCTGCACTAAGAGCCTTAACAGTGCTGGAGTTTGGTCAGCAAAACCATCCATGTCCACTGCACCCCAGATATCCTTAACTTCATTGTGACCTCTCCCCTCTGCAGACCCAGGCTGGGTGCTAGCAGGGAAGCTCTTGAACAAGGCAGGCAACTCCCACCAAGGACTGGCAGCACCTGCTCAAGGAGCTTCCAGCTGAGAGTATGCTTTAACAACTGACAAAAGTCACCTGTGCACGTGTTGAATGCATCCTCCGCCCCAAAAAAGGGTGTGCAGTAGAAATGGAATGTCCCTTCCAGTCCCAGCTTCTCTTGGGAGATACTCACTGCTAGTGGTTTTGTGTGTATCTTTTCAGTTTTTTAAAGTACATACAAGCATAAATGTGAGTTATTTTCCTTAAAAAAAAAAAAAAAAGTGTGTGGGGTGGGGGTGAAAAGTAAGATTCACATTACCCACACTGCTTTGCCTGTGGCTTCCTTCCCACTAAGCAGTGTGGCCAGGAAGACAACTTGGGGACTGAGGACATCGTAGGATTTATTTAATGGGCTCCTAATGAAGGATATTTCAGTTGTGTACTAGCAACTAGTTAAGGTTTTCTGAATTTTTACATAAATCTTAGTCTATCAGGACCCCACATGTTCTGAAGGCAGTGGTCCTGTTCGCAGCTCACTGTACAAGTCTATAACTAAAACCAAAGAGCCCTTCCCCGCAGTCACTCATTGCAAGAGTCATCCCTGGTGAGAAGTGCCGAGATGGATGGGTGGCAGCAGTGTCATCTCATTTCCCTCGACCTTTCTAGGAGAGCTAGAAGGAAGGTGCCTGAGCACACACTCCCTCCACCTGCTGGGCGAGATGTAGCGCCCAGCTCCAGAAACGCATTCCACATGTCATCCCAGACACAACAAAGTAGGAAGATGTGGAAGACCCTCTCGGGGCTTCAGTCCCACCTCCCTGGGCTTCTGTCAGGCAGCATGTCCTCCTGTGCTCTACTTGAGCCATAGTATCACTCCCCTCTAACTTCACATTTCAAAAAACACTCAACTTTCACTGCTTCCAATGGTGAGACACCTCCCAAGAGGTGCAAATGCTGCCCCACACCTCCTTCTAATCACCAGCTCATGCAGGGTGAAGACACTCAACAAATCTAAGCATTACTTTGTTAGACATATTATAATCAAAACAAATGCTAAAACATATATAATGTCCACTAGCATTTTATATATGAGCAAAGACTTTAGGAAAAAGAGGTACTTTATAAACTAAAATCACCTCACATGCAAAAATATCCAAAACACAGTACCTCATCCAGCTCCTGCAGATGTGTTGTTGCCGTCAGGTGGGTCCAGGTAGGGAGAGCAGGAAGAAAGGCATGGGGCAGACAGACAAGGCACCAGCAGGTGAGAAAACAGGTGTTAAGCAACTCTAAATTGACTAAAAACAAAGATCCACTAGTCAAGGCATTTAAAACTGTTCCCTTCTGATTCTTGCTTTCTAAAAAATAAAAGCTGCATTAAGATATATTTTTATTAACTGTGGTTGCTTTGTTAAAGGAAATAGGATATAAGAAACAAATAGTTGTAAAAATTAAAATACAATGGAAATAAACACTTTGTTTTCACTAAAGTATACTAGTTAAACTGTTTCATAAATATCAAATATCACATACCATGCCACATTCTAAATTTTCTGCGGAAGATTAAATAAGAGAACAAGCTAAGATGTAATGTTACTGTGTCAAATAAATGCATATGTTAACATATAAATCAGCCCTGCAAGTGCAACAAAATTAAAAAATGAACAACCCTCAAAATTGTCTACTGCATTCAGCTATCTGAGCGACCCCATGTGTAAGGGCTCTACAAACAAAATCCCACAGACATGGCTTGATCTGTGGTCATGGAGAGCCGAGAAACCACTCTTTCCCGGGAAAACACAGGTGGGAAAATAAAAGAAAAATTCTCAACACTTGCTTGGTATGTATTATTATCAGTCTAGAAAGCACACAATCATCTATAAGGATATTATAAAAGCAAGCAAATAAGACAAAACAAAAGGTAAAGAAAGCTGTCTGTGAGGGGGAGCGGGGAGGGGGAGTTGAGCTTCTATTTCTAACTAAAGATTCTTTTTAGATCAACGTGGAACTCTATCTTCTGAATAGACAGTTACTAATGACAGATAATCTAAACAACTAGGTCTTTTTTTTTTACAGTATTGATCATGGAAATAATTAGTGGTGAATTGCAATAATCAACTGTGTTGATTTTCTTGTTTAGCAGTAAATTTAGAAAATTAAAAAAAACACACAAAATGTTCTCACTTAAAAATTAATAGTGCAAATGAAGTTGGTCTATCAGGACCAAAACACGATGACACAATGATAGCAATAAGATGTACTCAACCCACACTTCTTAGGTGGAACTTCAAGAGGTGACATTCTAGAAACCTGAAAACCTTCCTCACTCCTACAATTTGCTGGGGGCAAAGGAGAACGGTATTTATAAATACATGCCCCACACAGTAGTGCCAGAAGATACCGGGAGAAGAAAGTGTCAATGGAAATCTGATCTTATTTCCTTTTACTTTAAAAAGGAAAAATGTTTGTTTGTTTTATAGTTTAACATTTCCAGCAAGAAAGCATGACACCTTTTATCAATAAAACTAGATGCAAGCCAAAACCCTAAGCATGGCTGCTCCGGCCTCTTCCCGCTTTGCAGCATTTAATCTTTGAACAAAATATCATCGCAAACCCCGGTCAGGATCTCTGCTGTGCACTACAGCCTTCGATGCTGGAGAATACACACCCTGCTTTTTTGATTTCTACAATTACTAGATGAGAAGAGGTAAAACTGCAACCTGAGATTCTAGGGCTACACACAACTCTCTTCTTACAAATAAGAAAACTAAGCTTCAAAATGTATAAATGCATTGCCTAAGGTCACAGAGCTTGCTGATGGTTAGGATGGGGACAGTCCCAGTGTCCAGACCTCTTTCCGTGCCATCCTCGGCCTCTCTAATTTTATTAACAATTCAGGACTTATTGTAACAGCCAGCTGCCACAGCACAGGGATTAAATTCAGAAGGCCCTCTTTTCATAGACCCCCCCCCCATTTTGCTACTTAAAAACAGAAGGCTTTCAAAACCCCCCAGTCACAAAATTACCAGAACATTTAGTGAAGATCTGAATGAAAACATTGAGAATCACCACCAGGAAAAAAATCAAAATACAGCCGAATGAACACACGTTTCTACATATCTACACCTTCTAAATCTTTATAATGTCTAAATCTAAGTTTCTGACCTACCAATGGCATGAAATCAAGCAAATATTGAAAACTCCAAGTAGCATGTGGAATTTATAGTCTAAAAAACTTTCTACATAAAACTGAAAAATAAGTGGAAACCCATCTGTGTTTACTCAGGAAGTCTGGAAAAGTTGAGCAAAATGAGTTGGAAATACAGGTCTATGCTATAGTGATATTTACTTTATTTCCATTACTGCCAAAATAAAAGCTTGCTTCACTTTTATCCAACAAAGTACCCTTATTCTCAAGTAAGCCTCACTGCTCAAATGGAACCTTTAAAAGCAGAAAAGCAAATAGATCTAAAGAGAAATATACAATGATTTCATACTTGGATTCTAAAGACAGAGAACTGATTTTCCAACAGACAGCCTGGAATAGGGCTCAGAACCTTCACTCTGCAAGTTGGAACTGACTAGGGAAGGCCACAGAGATGAAAAAAGACTCTAGCCTACTGCAAGGAAAGAAATGCACCTTAACAACAAATCTTTACATTTTCCAGGGTCTGCAACCCGTGTTCTAGAAAACAGCCAGCACCAGTGTGGTCCAGGAGGTGAGCATAGAGCTCTAGCCACATGAGCTCAGTTCCACCCAGAGCCCCCCATTCATGAGATGGGTGATGCTCGGCCAACTTCCAACCCCTCTATACCTATACCCATACCTGTATCACAAGCACCTAGGAGGTGAGGCACTGTGAGGATGACATGAGGTTACTCAGGGAGAGGGTTCAGTGCAGTGCCAGGCACATAGTAAGCACTCAATAAAATCTTAGCTAATATTATAGTCAACACTGAATAAGGAGCTTAGATTTCTTTTACCTAGAGTTAATCCTTATTTTCTTCTTAAAGCACATATTTTATTAAACATAATGTGCTAGTTTCAAACTAAGACCAATTAACTCAAGCTTCCATTTATAGATTATGCATTATTTTAAAGCAGAGCATAGATTATGTGGTAAACCCTACCAATGTAGCTCCAGCCCTGCATTAGATTCATTACAGGAGATCAAAGAAAACAAAAATCCATACAGCATCTCATCAAATGAACAGCAGCTCAACTTCCACTTTCCATTCATTCATTCATTCATTCAAGACTTTACACTTTTTAATGATTCTTGAACTTGTACATCTATTTCAGTTTCCTTAAGCCAAACTGCCTGGAACTGCTTGTATGAGTGGCTATCTTAAAACTTACACTCAGCCGATACCACGTCAAAAAGTTATTTCTGCAAAGTATCAGGGCTACTTCTCAGGATTTTTGTCAGTAAACATGAACGGACAGCCACAACACTGTTATTGACTATGGGTTTTTCCCTTTTCAAAATACTGGGTGCTTTGGTTGGGAGAAACAAAACAAAACAAAAAAAGCTATGTGCTTTGGTTGGGAGAAACAGCATATTCAAAAAGAACTCGAGAAAACAACTGTTGAATACACAGGACTACTATTAATTCAAACTTCTCAATTTACAAATGAGGCAAAAGAGTAAGTCTGCTACAGAGTGGGACTCCCCTGAGTTCCCAGACTAACCATCCACAGCTTTTTCCTTTATTTCATGCTGCCTTGAGGCACAAACATGACGGGGTGCCCAAAACAGAGTGCAAGAGAACGACCCAACAAGTGTGTTTTCCTGAGACTAAAATCAAACCCCAGTCTGCTTTTAACAATTAGCTTTACTAATATTAATGCAACAAAATGCACTAATAAGTAGAATTTTGTTCAATTTGGGGCACTGAAATTTAAGAAAGATACAGAAAAACTAGACCTTATTTCTAGGAAAGAAATTAAACCATGCGTCTGAGCCGGGACTTCTAAACCTAGGGTAAAAAAAAAAAAAAAACACACCGGGGAACAAGGCTTCAGGGTCTTCATGCAGAAGGAGAAAGAGCCTTCCTATGACATAGATCCTAGGGGAAAAAAAGTAAAACTAGGACTACAGGCTGGGAGACATAGACGTCACTGAAGTCAATAAAGGAAAAGACGCTTCAGTAGTAAAAGGTTTGGAATGCCCGAGCCCCTGGAATTTCTTCCCGCTGTCACAGAAAGTGATGGGGCAAAGGCGGGCAGTTGTCAACAATTGGGAGATATTGGGCCAAATGACTTTTTAGTCCCTTCTGGGGACTTGAAGATTTTCATTTTGACACAGTAACAAAAGGTTTAAATTCCTGCTTATCTGTGACATATTTAAATTCCTGCTTATTTGTAACATACTTGCCTGAATGCTATAAAAAATCTCAATGCATATATAGGTACCTACAATAACCCCCACTACCAATGAACTTCTAGCTTTTTCTTCAAATTAGTATTCAAAGAAATGTGGATTTAAATTTTGGGGATAGTATTAGATGTGCTTTGTTTTGAGTTGTGTGTGAAACCACATACACACAGACGCCACTTTGCAATCAATTTCTGCAGTTTTCCCCTCAAACAGGGTTGTAAAAATCCAGCATTACATTTTTTTAAAAAATCAATTATTTGAGGTAATTCATTTTTAATTGTGCATAAGACAACAAATGCACCAAAATTAACTTCTACAGTTTTTATTCTAAGTAGGAAGTTAAAATTTCATGTTACAATTTCAATTTTTTAAATTAAGTTAAAGTCTTGTGTTTGGTTACTTCCCTTTTTAATTATCTAAGTTTAGATATACATATTTATAAATTGTCTCTTTAATTGTTTTATTTTTCTATGATAAACATATTTCTTTTAAGTTTTTATTTATTACTTTTCAAACAAAGTATGTAAAAATGGTAAAATATCCTCTAACATATTCATCTGTAGACTTCACAATTAACAGCATTTTGCTTTATTGGCTTCCTCTATTTTTGAGGGACATTGAGTATTTAAATAAGTAACAGCCGTTTTGACATTTCACTTCGAAACATTTCAGTAGGCATCTCTACTAAAATTAACAATTTTAATTAGTTATAATTAATCAGTATTTCTTAGAATCCCGTAAAACCTAGACCATATCAAATCCGACAGATATAGTTTTGCTTTTGTTATATGGCTTTAAAATTATCAAGTCAGAAATGAGGTTTTAAAATATTTGAGCTAGAAGTGCAGTGAGGAACACTGAAAATCATAGTTTTTAAAAATCACAGTTTTTAAAAAATCACATTAGCCATGTCTTTTTCTCCAAAATATTTATAATTTTTCAAATGTCCAGAAAAGGTAAAAAACGGCAATCTCTACATATATTCACACCTGGCTATATTTGATTCTGTGTGCGCAGAAATGGTTTCTGTGAAATCACCCGTAAGCAAACAGAAGGTGTAATACTTCGCCCTAAACACTTCAGAAATTGATGGCACACAATGTCTAATGTACACAATCAAAATTCACAAATGTGCTTTGTTTTAAAATTCTAACTTAGGCAAACTAATTCTGTTAGACTGCAAGATCTATTTTTTAGACTCTGAATTGACTACACAGATATTTGAAATGATCTGATTGTTTTTAAGGATCAGAAAAAGATTTTAAATGCTCCCACTAATATAGACATATAATATTTTCAATGGTGTGACATAAAAATATTTTTAATGTTCCGACTTAAAACATGTGTTTTTAGTTAGATTTAGAAATCTACTTTCAAGAAACTGAATTAGCTAAATATATCTGTACATTTCCCGACATATCTATTTTCCCAAAATTGTACACTTCAGTAATTTATTTAATTATTTTACTTAGTTTACATATTTTTTAAAAATTTTGAAATTAGAAAAGCATTTTAAAATGTGGTTTGACTCAGAAATGTATTTTTAAAAAGCACCCGTCTCAGACACCAGGTTTTTAAATCATCTCACTTAAAGATTAAAAAAGGAAAGAAAAAATTCTCAAGTTACACAAAGGTTCAGGGTGTGTTGAATTTTATAACTGAAAAATTTAAAATGATGTTTTATTAATTAAAAGTGAGACCCCAGAAGCATTAACACGGGTTTTAGTTCCGTGTTTTCCCCCTACAAAGAAGCATAAAATCAAGTCATTTAAGGAGCATGCAATTCTTCCTATTTAACATAACTAAAGACCCATTGAGGAATTTCATTCCTTCAGTTTCTGCACTCTATTTCTTGGCTTATTTCAGGACACTGTTTTCAAAATTAGCGCTAGACATAGTCTGTTTCTGTGCTTGACAGCTTTACATTTATTTCTGTATAATACCATTTCTTTCCTTTTATAAATGTAAAATGCCTTCAAATTCTCATGTAAATAAATAGAAACCCAATATATCCAGTCCTTGCTTTCTATGCTTTTTGACCAAAGTTTACATCCTTTTATTCCTGAAAGTGCACACATGGCTTAAAATCGCTTTTCAATGAGTAATATGGCTAAAGATATTTTCCACCACGACTTACAAAAACGAAAAACTGTCTTGGTAGACATGTCAATAATTACAACACTTGCCATAATTTTTCTATTTAGTATTATGGATAAATAATAAAGAAAAAAAATTAAAAGGTAGTACAGCTACTATGAGGTGAAATAAACATTGGATTTCAAAGCTCTCTTTCAAGCATAATCCCCAAGAATCAGATCTTGGGGGTACTGTTCCCCCATGTTCCAGTTGTTTCCATTCAAACCTAGCCTGGCTAGAGCAGGAAGCCCCCTACTAACACAAGCTTTATATCTTCACTTTTCAATTAAAGATATTACAGAGCTAATAATCAACATTATTGTTTGAATCACCCTGACCCGCCCCCTTATTTAAAAGAGCAGTAAACTGAGGCTCAGAAAAGGAAAGTTAGCCCCATCAAAAGCAACCCTAAAACAGTAATCTTTCTAAGACCTTGCTTTAAAAAAAAAAAAAAAAAAAAAAAAAAAACTCTCCTGTTAGGCTAAGTGAAGGTTCTGGTTAATAAAAATTTAAAAAGAACATGTGCTATTTTGAGGGGTTAATTTTCACATACACATCATGTTTTTTTAAAAAGTTCGAATGCAGGGGAAAGCTTAATTTCCTGTCTGGGAAATGGAAAATGAAGAGCCTCGCACCTCACAGTCGCACAAACATGAGCCCCCAGGAAAAACAGTGAAGCAATTATTCATAGGGAACATGGCCACACAGAGGGCTGCGAGGCCATTAAAAGAAAAGGGGTGGAAAACACACACACAACAACAACAACAACACAACTCCTTCCTCTTTGGGGGAAGGGAACTGTTCACTTGCAAAGATTTGGGTCTGCGATCCCGCAACTCAAGTCATTAGGGCCCAAGTGAAGCCCACCATGAGGGCGGGGGGAGCTTCAAACAAAACAAAACAAAAAGAAGTCTTCAGAAAAGCCTAACGCTTCCAAATCCAAGTGTTAAAACATATGTAAATTGGAAGCCACCGGTCTTGCAGTGACGAAGGCGGGAGGGGGGAGGACTGGGAGAGCTGCGGAAGTGAGAGGGCAAGGCAGAGGTGGGGCAGGGGCCTAGGACGGTTTCCTCAGCCAGGGTTATAGAGGCCCTCTGACCCTAGCCACGAGACCTTGCATTTCCGTATTATTCTTAGTCTTATTTTTCTTCTTCTTCTTATTTTTTTTTAAACAGAGAGACAGACAGAGACAGACAGACAGGCGGAGCCGCAGTGCACACGGTGCGTGTGTCGGAGAGGCCGCCAGGAGACTCACCGCAGCAATGCTACGTGAATGCAGAGGGCTGGAGGTGGTGTGACTACTCACTTGCTCGGCTAACAGCTGCCGGTTTTGGATGGAATTATTCCGCAACAACAAGAAAGCGTCGGTTAAACGCCTGGTGGCCATGTCTCACCCTTTGTGACCCCCCACTCAGGGTCCCCCCGCCCACTGATAGTCCTGATTGATTCACTTTCTCTTGGTCTGGCCTAGCCGGCCCACCCTTTCACAGAAGCCTCTCTTCACGAGGCCCAAAGCCGAAAAGCGCAGCTTTGCGCTCCGCCAAAGCGCAAAGACCCCTCCCCAAATAACCACCTAGGCTTTCCAATTGTCTGACTCCCCCTACCCAAGACCTGACTTCGATCTCTAAGCACTTGAATCCCCCCAATCCTTGCTTAGCGGGCCAACGTCCCAGAGACCCCACCCCAATCCAACCTTCGATCTACAAGCGTCTAACTCGCCAATCCAGCTCGGAAGTGGGAGGGCCTGAAGCCCCCTACCACTCTCAGTTGCTCAGACCCCCAAAGGTCCTGGCCCCCGGGCCCTAGCGCGAGTGCTGCGCTAGGCCCCGCCCTGACGCCGGGCGCCTTGCCCCCCCACCCGCGCGAGGCCCGCTCTATGTTTCTGTGTGGACAACCCGAAGCAGGCCCGAGCCCTGAACTACAGAGCGCCTGCAGCTCCCTACTCGGCAGACCGAGCTTGCCAACGCTCAGCCCGACCTCCTGACCCCTTCCTTTCCTGAGTGGCCTGGTCCTCCACTGCCAGCAGGCTGCCGGCCTCCAGGAGGTCAGCAGGGCCTGCCTCCCCGGCCTTTTCACGCCTCTTCTCCGGCTCCCTCCATCCCCGGATCTGACTGTAGCCCAGCCCCGGGCCGTTTCCGTGCCGTGGTCCCGGGTTCTGGCGTCCCCCCTGGCCCTCTTCCTGTCCGTCCCTCGCGAGTGCCCCCCTGCGACGCTCACAAGCTTTGCTTGCAACGTTCCGGGAGCGGGAGCTCCTTGCCCCCCTGTCCCTTGCCCCCCTGCCCCGGCGCGGGAGCGCTCCGCCCTCTCCCGGGGTTCTCTCGGGGCGCCCGGTTTCCCTTTCTCTAAGTGGGCTCTGTTGCTGAGACCGAAGAGCCGGCCAGTCAGAGCCTCGGCAAAGTGGCCCCCACGCTGCGAACCGCCGCCAGGGGCCTTGGCGCCCGCATTAGAGTGGAAGTTGTGCGGCAGGCAAATTTGGGCTCCAGCAGGGCCGCGCTGGCTGCGCGGAGCGGGGGCGGGAGAGGAAAAGTGGGAGACGACTGCCTCTGCAGGCCGAGCACGCTCCACTGCAGGCAGCGGCGCGACTCGCTCGCTCGCTCGCACGCTCTCTCTCTCACTTTTTTTTTTTTTTTTTTAACTCTGAAAAAAAAGATGTATCAGAAAAACAACCAGAGGGGGAAAAGGGGAGCGCGTGCTCCAGGCCGCCCGGGCCGCGCCTCCCGCAGCAGTCGGGGGTCGTGGGGGCACCCACCCTCTCAGCTGCGCTTTCTGTAGGGGGCACTGCAGGGTTGTGGTTCTCAGGTGGAAAAGTTCGCAGAAAACTTTGACTGCCCCCGCGAAATAAAGCCCACTTTGTCGTCTCACTGTGCCCGCCTGCCGGTGCCCGCCCAGCCGGATTCCAGGGCTCCGCGGGGCCCGAGCGCGGTGACGCAGGCAGGCGACGGCCAGGAGGGCGGGGGTCGCTAGCCGGGCCAGGCCCGGGGTGGAGCGGCCTCGCTGTTGCGTACGTTGACAACTTTCTCCCGCACGCGCAGGTGTCCCTAGCCTTCCCGCGGGTGAGGAGACCCGCAGCCAGCTTCCGCAGCTTCCGTCGGCCTGCAGGGAACGCGCGGGAACCGGAGTTTTTCCTCTAAAGGAGACTGTTTCTGTGCGTTCTTCGTGTAACTAAAAATTATGTAACAAGTATCTTTGAGGCAAATAACACAATGCATAAAAGAAAACCGAGAGTGCCAGCGATCAGGGTTGAGCGCATCGATGGCCAGGACAGGCTCCAGCCCAGCGCCGCGCGCCAGCGCTCACAGGGCGCACAAGGCACTGGCTCCCGGACCTTTAGCAAAGGTAAATCCGCCCGTGGCGCGCGGCAGTTCCTGCAGCGCCCGCCCAGCTGGAACTCGCAGGGCGTGAAGAGCCGCCCCTGCAAAGCACTGGCTTCGCAAAAGGCAAGCGGGGAGCCCTGCGTGGACTACTGGGATTAGTGGACCCCCGGGGAAATACCTGCCCATCAAGGAAGAGTTTGGTTGATTTCACCACCAAGATCTGACCCTAGTCACATGGCCAAGCCTCCTCCCTCTTCAGGGGACTGGTATTGGTAAATAACAGCTGGCCTTCTGCATGAACATCAGATTCGAGCCATGGTCCCCATTCTGCTTCATTCTCTCCAGCTCTTGTCCCCTTGCAAAGAATGGGCTTGTTTACTTGTGCCTAGAACGAGGCCTTCCTCCTACGCAGCACTGTGTTTTAGTCATCTTTGTACCCGCTGCCATCTCGTCCGGTTTGCTACAGGCTTGGGATAAATGCCTTTTAAATATGTACATGAATGAATGACAGAACCGAGATGTAGTCCCCAGACTCCCTGACCTTTACCAGTGACTCTAAGCCTGTATAGACCTTTTTTGTTAAGAAGGTTGGGGTGGGGGGAGAAATGTTGCGTTTTCATAATCCCTGCAATCCATGCCCTGCTTGCCTCTCTGGGGTTATTGTGAAGATCAAATAAGATAAGTGAAAACACTGTGTAAACTATCAGGTGCTGAACAAATATTACATAGGATGGTTATTCATTCATTCCCTCCATTCGGGAAGCTTAACTAAGTAATTCCTGGTATTGTGTTTCAGTAGATGGCGGTCATCCTTCCTGGTCAGTCTTAAATATTTATTGTGGGACAGTCTCGCTCGCACATTTGGGAAATCAATCAAGCTTCATTTCTTTGAGAGAAACGAACAGTGTTTGCACACATAAATAATGAAAGAGAAATCCTTTGTTCCCCCAATATCCACCTCGAGCAACCCAAGAGCCCAAGAGCAGAGAGAGGGGGAATTGTCCACAAGATAGGCATAGCACCCTGAAGGCCACATCCAGGCAAGGGGCTATGTGCATGAGATAGTGCTAAGTGAGAAAAGGGGCGCCCCTGAGTGGGTATGCACACTGTGGTCACATCCATGTACGCCCAGACCCACGTTGGACAGGAGCCGGGGAAGGATGTAAATCATTATATTTGAATGTTCCTTGGCTGTTTTATTTTCCTGTCAAGTGGCTTAAGCTTGATTTTTTTTTTAAGCATTCCCTCATGGCCAAGTATGTGTTTCCTTGGAATTGAAATCTAGGTTGATGGTTTTATATTTTAAAAGCTTTCATTGTGACTCATTCCTGGCCTGGGCTACGATTCTGTAATACTCCCCAAGCTCACAGAGCCTCCGTGTCCTGTTTCTTGGGCTTTGTACCCACTTTCTAACATTGCTAATGGATCCAAGAAGTCACTTTTGGGGACAAGTGTTTTATTGTGTGTTTGTCATTCTAATCAGTGCAGAAAGAGACCATAAACATGGACTTTTCCAAAAGAAGCCAGATGACAGGGGCAGGGGAAGGTTTTCGAATGCTAACAGGCCAGTGGTTAGACAATGACTGGGCAGTGGGAGACTCCTACCCATGGTGAGCAAGTGTCAGTGGGCCCCATACAGGCTGAACACAGAGTAAGCCCTCCAGCAATAGCCATGTGATTTATGCCACAGCAGGCTTGCTGTAGGAAGCTCAGGAGGGTGCTCCTCTTCCTCAAGGACATTGCACACTCCAAAGAGGAGGGCATGGTGGTGGGAACAATATCAGAGCACATTTTTGAGATCCTTATTCATGGCTTGGGAATCCAGATGTGTCTTCAATGTACTCTCATGTAGAAGAGGGCTTTGGATGGTCCCAAATGGACATCTTTTAACTTTGGCCTTTTGGGTGCCTGTAGAAGGAGAGATGGTTATTCTTTTATCAGAATGAGCAACAAAAGCCCCCAAGCCTGAGAAATGTCTCATTTGCCCAGAGCCGCCCCAACAAGCAGATTCAGAAGCAGGAGTTTTGTAGTCTGTCTACCAAAATAGTTCCTCAAACCTTGAGGGTTTCAACTTCAGAATGCACTTCTGTGCTGTCTTCAGCTTTGACCACCCCTCTCCCAAGCAGGGACTAGAAAGAGACATCAGTTTTGTTTTGTGTAGATCCCATTAACTTTTTACCCCAGACAATTTGAGTGTGTAAGCACAAAAATCTAGTGGTGACTGCATCTTGGTCTTGCTCAGACACAGACCTGAACTCTTACCCTCAAGAAACTGCCCAGCCCCTCCCTTTGCCCGAATTATGGTTCTCATCACGTGTGCTTTTCCAGCAGCTTCCAAACCACCAGCCGGCTCTTCCCCTCCATCCATCCTCTACCCTGCAGCCGCAGTGACCTTTCCAAAGCACAAATCTGATCATGTCACTGCCTGATGGAGGCCCCAGAACAGCTCCCTCTGGCCATAGCAGCTGATCTCCGTCAGTGCTCAGTAGAAAGCCAGGTGCTCCCCAAGCCACTCCACACTGGGCGGTTGCTAATGTGAACTGATGATGTTCTTCTCTTGGTTGGCAGACAACATTAAGCTAAATGATGGAATGGTCTCCCATCTTCAGTGTTTCTCCTTTACTCTCCTGAACCGTTGGTCCCTGCTACTTCAAGGGTGTATTAGAATACAGTATAGGACCAGCTTTGATTCATCCTAGGCACGAGCATTTCCTCAGGCTTTTCTTGGATCCACCCTTGCTGGTGTTCTGCACGCAGATGTTCCATTCTCTCCCATGGCAGACAGATGGAGGGTTGGCATCCACAGCTCTTCCCAATAGGCCTCACCCCTGTGGATTGCTTTCTCTCCAGGATGTGGCTCAAAGACCCTTCTCTGCAAGGGTGTGCCCTTCCCTTTCTGCTTGGGGAACACTTCTTTCCAGACTTAGTGCCACCCCCCGAAAAAAAATGTCTGTGGAATGCATGGACTGATAGGTCGAGAGCTGAGATTGGATATATTAAGTACCAGAGGACACTGGACAGACAAGACTTGAAGTGGGTGGCATGGACAGAGAGTGGTTCTGTCACCCTCTCAGTGTGGTTCTTCAACCACACCAGGATTCTTGCTGTTTAGGAGTCCACCTTAGCACTCACTGCCTCTTCCTTCCTGGGGTCTTCATGGGGTTCCTTATCACCACTCAGGTCCACTCTATGTAAGGCAGGCCCCTACCTTGCTCAGTATACAGAGGGGACTCTGTTGTTCCAAGGCCCATGCTTGGTCAACCTTGAGATTCAAGTAATGTCTAACATTCTGGCTTTCTGTCTCTGAGGCCAAGAAAGAGGCCTCTTTGGTAATAACACATGCCAGCAGGCATATCTGCATTCTCCCTTTTTGCTTTTTTTTCCAGGATGATGTTGACACATATGTACTCAAATAAATCAGCCTCCCATCTTAACCATCTCCCTTGGCAGGAACACTAAGTTGCTGTGCCAAGCCAGGGCTGGCCAGTATGACCCAACCCTTGAAATATAAAGGAAATCGTTGTGTTTTCATGCTAGCAGTTATTGACATGAGGCCAGCTCCTCAGTTTCTAGGTTTTTTTTCCCATGGCCATAACCGCTGACCTGCTCATGGTAATTTGTGTGATCCTCCAGTCCAGGGCTGGACTCTAGCCTTCTCCAGATGCTACTTTGTCACCAGAAGCCGCTCATTAGTCACATGGACATGCGCGGGTCAGGACACCTTTAGTTGCAAATGACAGAACTCAAATTAAATTGGCTTAAGTTTAAAAGCTAATGCTTTGGCACAAGTAAATAAAGAAATCTAGGCATGGCAGGATCCAGAGAGTCAACAGT